TATATAATATATATATCTCACAGACAAGATGTTGTTTTGAGACAGAATGTTTCTGTGAAGCTCAGCCTGGCCTCAACTCTAACTAACCCAGGTTGGCTTCGAACTCATGATCTATCCTCCTGCCTTGGATTCCCAAGTACTGGGATTATAGACACATGCCATCATTCCTAGCACAAATAAGAATTACAGCAATATAATGTTAACCAGCTTCATTTCATACATGAGAACCATCTTTGAAGGAAGTTCATACAATAGAGAATAAACTGTCATGTCACTATATTGTTCAAATTTAACTCATTAAATAAATTATATCCATCAACTGTAGCATAAACTATGGCTGACACAGTAGAACAAACAAAATTTTATACTTCACTGAGATTTAGTATTGCATAAGATTTACATTAATTTTAGAGGAGAGATTTAACATATAACAGAAATTAAAAATTATACATACATATGTATATATTTACTTTTTTAATAAAAGAGAAGCAGGAGCAAAAAGCACATCAATGAGTGTATAAATTCAGTCACTCTGGAAAATCTCTTATTAAGGTCACTATAAATTCATTTCCTTACAGAACTGCTAAACTTTTCTAAATTCTACTTCAATTTATTATGGTGTTTGACACTGTCGACCTCATACTTCTTTAAAACCATTTTTTAGCTAAAGCTGTGCAGACTTTCTTATCTAAGCTTTCCTTTGATTGTGTGATTTTCTTCCTCTTCCTACTCTTTCACTCTTTCACTGCCACATAATTTCTTTCAGGATCCTTAATTGGGCCCTAACATTCATTGCTGCCAAATAATTGTGAACACAGGTAATAATTATTGTTATGGCTTCAAATCTAGCCTCATATCTTGAATGCTTGTAAAAAATATTCACAAGATATTTCAATAGCATTTCATTTTCTTTAAACTCTTAAAAATCCTCTGGCTAAGACATTTTTCTTTAGTGGCTTCCTGTTTCTAATTGGTGCAGTGCAAATCTATCGAACCCCAAAAGTAGGAACTGTGAAGTTGTCATCATTTGTATCAAATATGGCACAAAAGCCATAGTTATTTCTGTAGCTATGCTTGCTATTACCCTCTGTTGGCAGACTAGCCATACTTCCAGGATCAATACCATTTTTAGAAACAGCAGAAAACACCTCTTTTCCACAAAACCACAGAAGACCCAACAGCCTGTGTGCCACTCCTTGGAAGTTCATGTGATCCTGGTCTCCTCACTGTATTTGCCAAAGCCCATGCCCTCTCAACTCTCAGCCAGTTGATGGAGTCAATGGACATGGGATTAGAATGCAGAAAAAAATTAATAAAAATCACATAATAATATTAAAAATTTGTAATATTGCATAACCACATTACTAGTAATCCACAGCCATATATGACACATGGTATTCAGGTTTAACATGACTGCTTCAGCAGTTCTTGGATGACCACGATGAAGCAAGATTCCTTTCTTTCTTTGTCCCTTCTTATGACTCATCCTGTTTTGTTTTCCTAAGGAGATCCTATAAATAAATCACACACATACATGTAAATTCCAGGCTCAGTTGAAATAATAAGGGAGCTGGCTTGTGACATCATACTTCAAAACATTTCTGTTCATCTCTTTACACGCATATAGCCCTCATTTCATGCCTGGATTAACTGAAACAGCTTTACAGATCATTAACTAGTTTATGAGGTGCCTATATTTCATACATTTGTAAAATTTGTACTGTATTTCAAAGATAACTTTAAATTATGATAGTTTATTGCAGTTGTTAAATGTATGACTTCTATACCCAGATTTCCTAGGTCTGAAATACATTTACACCAATTATTGAGTGTATTACCTGCATAAAAATCCTTAAAAGTGATTAGAAAATTATGAACTTCTATAGCCTTCAAGGCATGAATAATATTCAAACAGAGACTGATATAAAATCAGCACTGTATTAACTAAATCATAATAATTATTCTTTTTTTTTTTTCAGAACCGGGGATTGAACTCAGGCCCTTGCACTTGCCAGGGAAGCGCTTATTCCACTGAGCCATCTCCCAGGCCTTAATAATTATTCTTATTAGTTATCATCATTATCAAGTTCTTCCCTTACTCAAAGATTTTCATTGGCTTCTAATTATGTATGATATTTAAAACTCAAACTTTTTAATTGTTTTCAAGGTATATAGTAATAAACTCTGTCCCATTTTAGGGAGTTTATTTCCTATCATTTCTAAGATAAACTTTTCTACCTTCACTAACCATTATCCTCATAATTCCACAACACTAGTTCTTTAGTTCTGTATTTTCCCATATTATTTTCACTATCTGAAAAAGCACATCATTTCTTTTCTACTAGGCTAACACTACTTCAAATACATTTTTTCTGAGAATTTTTCAAAATACTAAACCACATGCTATTCATTTTGACTATATCTCACACATAAAATTGCATCATATATATTCCAGCTTCCAGTTATTTAGAGCTATAATAATTTTCTTTCTTATGAAAGGGGCTATTCTAAATTTCATAAGTATACTGGAAGTGCAATGGAAACAACACCATATTTTATGATACTACTGTGTGTTTGAGAAATACCTGTTTCATGAATTGAAAAAAATATACTACCCATACTGGTGAAAATGAATGGCAGATATAAACATATTAAAATGATGTTCAAATGACAAAAAATGCACCAAAACATGTCAGCTTCTCTAATCTGATTTTTGTATAATGTATTATGTGAAATTTTAGTTTAAATCACTCAGAGTTTACAACATAAAAACTATAAAAGGTATTATAAACACCAAAAATATTTGGTTGTATGATAGATTTAACACAATGAAAAAGATGAGTTATTCTTCTCTTAGCAAATATAATCTAGATGAGTATACAGTTTCAGCACAAA